CCGGCTGCTTGCGGCCAGGCCTTGCTCGGGACTCTGGCTGAGCGAGTTGAGCGGTGTGGTCAAGCAATGCATCCCCTCCTCCCTGGAGAATGGGGGGCCATACCGGGAACTTCTCTTGATCGACAAACCAATTCTATCTCGCCCAAACGTCGCCGATACTGCGGTGGGACTCGCCAGCAGACTTGGCCTAGCATCCAACGTGCAGAAGGAAGTGCCGATTGGCCGAAATTACTCGAGTTCCGGATCCACTGTGCTACGATCTGCTGTGGAAATGCTGACCTCTGCCCGAGCGTGTTCGTCACTTGTTGCAGTGCCTCGCACATGGTTGTGCTGTAGCCCTAGTATGTTCTTCTGCCCTGAATACAGATAGATTAGGGAAGAGCACCTTCATCGCCATATTACAGCTGACGTCAGGTATCGAGCCAAACCCTGGACCAGGGCTCCTCAACTTTGGATTGGTGAACGCAACAAGATGGCGCTGATCCACGATCTTATCAACAATTGTGGACTCAACATATTTGCCATTACCGAAACCTGAGTATATGATGAATCACCGGATGTAATTAAACGTGAGGCTGCACCTAAGGAATTCGCTATTGTACATCTGCACCATCTCGGTGAGCCTGGCACCGGCAGCCTGAATGGTGGTGGGATCGCACTGATTCACCGTGAAGACATCTGCGTGAAAGTCCTGAGCGACTCATTAACAATCACGTAATTTGAACTGCTGCTTGTGAAAATAACGAATAGCATGTGGGGGCTTACGATTGCTGTCATCTATCGATGACTGTCTTCTATCGATGACTGTCTTCACTGCTGTTGGATTTTGTTTCTGAGCTTCTGGTCCTCTGGACTGTGGGTCACTTGGCTCTCGCTACATAATCTGTGGTGACTTGAACTGTCCCAGATTGACTGGTACTTGTGGTCAAATCAACAGTGATCTCGCCGAGATTATCGACAGTCACAGTTTAATCTAGCATGCCAGCATCGCAATGTTGCTCGAAAAATATACTGGTCACATTTTCACATCCGCTGATACCGTAGCTGTGATGGACATTATTATTGAAGACGTAGGTATTTCAGATGAGTCACGTGATGTGCCAAGTGGCATAATCTATTATTCACCCACTCATCACAACGATATCATACAGCGACTGGAAACGAGTGGACCATAATGCTTTCCGTTAGAAAATTTGGTTATTATCGGCGTGTCTAAAGCCTCCATTGATGGTTGATTCATTTTCAGCTCAATTAGGAAATTACATCACTGCTGTTCTTGATGAACTCGTGCCCATCCGAACAAGCACAAAGTGAATGGGGAAAGCGTGCAGTAACTGGCTGTCACCGGAGGCGATCTCCACGAAGCAGACGTGGAGGAGGCTGGAGTGTCTTTGGAAGAAAATTGGTTTCGAGACTGACTCGCTTATAGAGCCGCCTGCAGACCTGCCAACCGACTCGCTGAGTCTCACAGATCGTTTTATGCTCTGCACGTCCGATTCGCACGGTTGGCTACGTACGGTGTGGTGCAGTGCACTGACAAACGGTGTATCCAGCACTATGTGGGGACCTGTGCTTATCAATGATGATGACATGGTTGGGGTTATCTGCTTTAATTATAGCGATAAAGTAACAAGTTCAGGTGGACAGATCATTTTCACATGCTGTGTGTATCTTGTGCTTGTGTTACTACTGCCTAAGCTACAGATTGGACAGGGTACGATGGACTTCTCACACAACGTCTCTTTATTACATCAACAGATATACTGTGTGAGAACAGATGTTAACAATTTTATGGTAATATCCAAGACTTGTTGTTATGTATACTTTGTTTCTGAACATTGTCTTGGTGTTATGTATCCATACTTTATTGGTAGTTGTATCATCTTTAATTTCACACTTATGGCCTTTGGTCGACCTGACAGTTTGTTACACAGTTTGTTTTTTTCCCTATCTTTGCTGTACGAATTCCTGTCTTGATTCTCGTTTGTAAAAGAACAAAACAACAATTCCTTTACGTGTGTAGGATCCCATCTCCGTGAAAACGAATGGCGTTATGTTCTGACAGTTAAGTACACTTATTGCCATGCAGCTTAAAATAAATCCTGCTGCTTTATAACTCCACTGAAGTTTGGGTCTGGTTCTTCTGTTTGCATATTTCATGTTGGTGTCATGTAATTCTGTCACCCGCTCCATTTATTTGATCGTTTATTTTGCTGGAGCTTCCACTGGATAAGCAGCATCTGACTGTAAACCTATCCAATTTGGTTTAACACATAGGCTTCCGCGACCAATATTATCCATAATATAGGGAGTTTTTTTGGTTAGGTCGCGTAGATATAAATATGTTGTTAAACCCGCCACCACCCGACAGCCAATTCGTAAAATTTGTCACGTAAACAAAACATGCCCATTCGTTACGAGTACGGCACACTGGTGTGTTGGAGATTAAGCCCACAACATTTTCAATTTAACCATTTTGGCTGCGTATACCACCAGATTGCGTTTTGTTCACATCCAAGGAGAATTTTATTTTATTTTGGACCCCTCATTTCACCAACCCAACTCGCACTGACAATTATGCTCAAAACCCCCTTTGACCAAATACCTTCATCAAACAGCGGATTGATAAAGAGGCTGGAAGGAGATTATTTTTTAGTGTCTGCATTATGATTTATAATGCCATTTTTAGTAGATTGCCTATTTGCAAAGAAACAAGGACGGCCAAAAGTTTAGTTGTATTGCTCATATACCTGTGTACAGGGTGGCTCATTTGAGCTCTTCCCTGCGAACAAGTCACTCCTATCCCTTACGCATCCCAGAGGGAATGCAACCATGCATTGATTAAATTATTTGATAGAAATAGATTTTTGTTCGCATATATCGCATCATGCACGTAACAGTAGATTTGAATGTTATGAAAATTATATGCTGTTGAATTTATGCCAGTGGACCAAAACAAAAATATACATTTGAGGCCGAGAACACGGTCAATAATACGTATGTTCTTGTACGATTTTATTTTTTAATGCCTGCATCAAATCACAGCCGCAAATTGTGCCAATCGATTTGCTGATCGAGTCGCGGTGCACCGTTATGTCCGTTACACAGGATGTCACGGGTTCCTGCACGTCCGCCAGGATGTCGGACGACGCAGCGGCCGACTTGATGCCCACGCTTTGAAACGATCGGCCCATTGATAAAAACGTCAGCGCCAAAGTGGGGGGGGGGGGGGGGCTCCAAGCCAGTGAACGGATTATGTAGAAACGACAGACCTGCTTAGCTCGCCTGCGGGAACAGAAGCCACCCACCCCCCCCGCCGCCGCTTTTGCGTAATGGGGAGGGGGGGTGGTTCTGGTTAAGCGGGCAAGTGGCCAAGGGACCGGAGCAAGGCAATTGCAGGATGAGTGGTCTGGTGTGAAAGATGGCTTGAGCCAGCCACCCTCAGCAGTGCAACTTGTAATCGGATGATCCAGGCAGCGGAAGCCATCTGCCAGCTGCTGTAATGTAATTGAGCGGAAATGAATAAGCTTTGCACGAACATTGCAGATGGTGGTTGTTTGCGGTTTGCATTCCTGTTTTTTTATTCCTGTAAGGCCACTGAAGAACGTGATGTTTGATGGTGGCACTTAAACATTAGAGCCCGGTTACATAAAATACATGTTGTCCTGTCAAACCTGAGCTCAGCCTGGGTTATGGTTTGATAATTATTGCCTCGCATTCATAAATAACTTGTACGTTTGACAGTGCCTCTTTAACAATTTCTTTTTAAATGAGGAACTCTGCGAATTATGCTTTAAAAAACAAATCCTTGGTAAGTTTGGAGAATAAAATACTGTCCTGCAGCGCTACCATTATATTAAGATCTTAAATACAACTTAAGAAGTACAAGTGATAAATACACTACTTTTCGATTTAAAGCTTTCGTGACTGCAATGATTCATCTTCTTTGGTTCTTTCGGTAAAGTCACGTAGAATGAGAATAAAATAATAAATTGATAAAATAATACAATAAAATTCTCACGACGTTTTGACCACAACACAAGCGGTCTTCATCAGGTGAAGGGACGAGACTGTCTGGAGGACAGCGCTGGAGCGAAAAAGCCACGCTCAGATCGCGACCTTTAAGCTGTGTGAGAAGAAACAAAGCGCCTTGACAAAGGAATTAGCATAGAATTTAGCATTGAAATGGCTGCGTGATTAGCTTGTGACTGGTCACAGAAATGGCTATGTTAAAGTTAAAGCATACACATCCGCAGAGGCACCCCTTGACAAAGGAATTAGCATAGAATTTAGCATTTAAATAGCTGAGTGATTAGCTTGTAACTGGTCACAGAAATAGCTATGTTAAAGTCAGAGCATACACATTCACAGAGGCACCTAGTACAAATCAAACAGGAGAATTTAGCATTGAAATAACTAGGCGAATTTGGCATTTAAATAACTGAGTGATTAGCTTGCGACTGGTCACAGAAATGGCTATGTTGAAGTCAAGGCCTACACATCTGAGCTATTCACAGTAACTGGGTATACACTACAATATAATGAATACTATATAGTGAACCAATAAAAAATTAAAATATAAATTACCTCAATGTTATCAATAAACTCTATATATTCTCCAATCAGCTAAGCTACCAACAATAAGTCGTTATATATCACAATGCTATATGGCGAAAAAATGGGTGGATTCTTACCCTAAACTTTAGCAGCACGGATAGCTACGGGCCCCGTTCAGACGGACGAGTACATCCATGGTCGGAACAGAGGAGGGGGAGAGAGACAGCTGCGAGGCGCTGTTATACTCCATGTTGTAAACCATACCATTAACCGTGGTGTGAGAGGTATTAAGAGTCAATGCCAGCGAAAGAGCTGCGGTCTGAAGGTCATCGTAAAATACAATTAATTAAGAACGGAAATGGTTTAAAACATCTTTCCAATGGTTACTAAGCCACTGGTGTGGCCGAAACGTCGTGAGAATTTTTTTGTGTTATTTTATTTTATCAATTTATTCTCATTCTACGTGACTTTACCGAAAGAACCAAAGAAAATACACTACTTTTAATAAAATAGAAATGCAAGGTGTCAGGCATTGCACTTATTGCCATTACAATTTCAAGCAGAATGTGGCAGCATACATCACTGAGGTGAACAATATTTGATGAACAAACAATAGCAAAATTGGGCAGCATACGTAACTATTTTGGCAACGAAATATCCGAACATTCTTAAAATTGGTCAGAACAGAGGGGTAGTTATAGGTAACTGCACGTGCATGAGTAAGATGACTTGTCATTGCATATCTTGACCCTTCAGCAATAAAATATGTCAATTCCCTTCCGCTCATATGAGCATTGCACTCCTCTGTTAGAAATCCCACATCAATGTAAAGATTCCACTGTTGACTTCCAGTCGGAGCGCTGCCTCCATCACAGGCGGCGCTCATCTGACCAACCCTGTTGGAGCAATGAGCTTCAGCCAGCAGTACATTGAGAATGAATGACAACTGATTATCCTTCGGCCGCTGGGCGTTTTCCCCATGCCCCGGCTGCTTCGGCAAACCTCCCGGCGATGTTTCCAGCAAACGCGGGCTCCTTTATCGCCTCCGCTAACGTGACGTCTGGACCAGTTGCCACGGCAACCGTCGGTACAGCTGCCGACGCAGCATCGCGCTTGCGCGACCGGCAGACCGAAGCCGGACACCGCGGTGAGCGCAGCGTGCCGTAGGTCAAGCACAGAGTCACGACGTCCTTACCTGCCGCTGCCACGTCCAGCGAGAAGCTCTTGTTTATTATTCCCGCCAGGAGGGTGAGTTTGTTTTACTGCTCCGTATATTATTTATCGTGGGGAGCGTCAACGACGGTCTGTGCGCGCGTAACCTAAGATTTGCAGGTGTTTTGTCACGCGCGCGTTGTTGACCTGTGCTCGCCGCGCCCCGTGCTTGTGCGCGTACTGGGTGAGGTTTGTTCTCGTGGCTCTGCGGCGATGTTGTTGTTGTTTAGCAGTCAGGACGGCTCCTTGTGAGGCTGCCTCCACGGCGCCCCCGGCGTGGCAGCGTCAAATTATGGAGGCGTTTGCAGTCTGCTGGTTTTTCCGCCAACGTGACGCGAAGAGGGAGCAAATTTACTTGGCATCACTTATCCACGTCTGATCGTCTTTCATCTTACGTGTTTTGTTTTTCAGGGCACGCGAGCGTGTATTTTGTTTCAGGATTCATTGCAATTGTGTTTTTTTCTGTTGGATTTTTGTATCACGGTGATTCAGGTTAATTTGCAGTGATATGTTGCAGCAAATGTTGTATTTGCAGTCGGCTGTATGTGCAGTAACGAATGTGGCATTTTCTAAGTCCTAGCCGTGTGTGTTAAAAAAACATGCCCTTGTATGGCATGTTTTACTTATTAGCTTGCAAGCGATGCAAATTTTAAAAAACCCCTGTTTTAATTTTACACCCTAGGTTTTCTCGACCAATATGGCTCGTAAACAAAATACGGTTAGATCACATATATGAATGCAAATGTTTTGTTCATGTGACAACTTGATTTGTTTGGCTATGTTTGATAGAGGAGGGCGTATGGCACCATTAGACGTTATACTTATGCGATCTAACTGTGAATCCCTGTTTTATTGACCATTATTTCAAAACTTCAAAATCAGAAGTCCGGGTAACAGTCATAACATTACATCATGACAAAGACGTTTTAAAACGTCTTTAGATATACAATCCTACAAAAAAATTCTAGGCATAGCTGGTGTCAAAAGAATAAGGTGAAAACTATAAATAAGTAATATTGTTTGGGTCTTAAATCGTCAAGCTCTTTGGGTGCCATTCCCTCCTTACCCTATTTCGGGTATTATTATTATTATTATTTTGTATAAATGTGGGCAACGTCTCCCCCATTGGTTGGCTCTGGAGATGTCGGCATGGGAAGGGAATGCCCGCTACCACGGCGGGCCAAGAGTGACTCGCGTTGTTCCGCGCGCACGCACGCACGCACGACAGGAACGACGGTGACATCGGAGCCTGCGAAGCGGCGGGGGTGTGCACGATGTCGAGCCCCGATGAAGGGAGCTCCTCGAGCAGCCTCAAGCAGCTGCCCTGGTTCGTGGCGAGCTCGCAGCTGCTGGGCCTTGCCGCCGTCATCGTGGTGGGCGTGTGGATGGGCCACTACCGCGGGGGCTTCTCCTGGGACCACGGCGTCTTGGAGTTCAACATCCACCCCCTCTGCATGGTCATCGGCATGGTCTTCTTATATGGAGATGGTACGTCATCCTGACACGATGGGCGTGAAAGTAATCTGCGCCGAGCCAACTTGCGCTGCGCAGGGAATGTATGATTTGACACTGGTTTGTGTTTGTGCAATGTATTCGATTTGTTTGACTTTGGTCACTTCGATGACCCAGATCACTAATAAGGCTATCCCAGTCTCTTAAGAGTTCTCACCTATTCTTTGGTTCTTTCTTATACCTACGTAAGTTTACCGAAAGAACCAAAGAGTATGGATTCCTGCAGTCACGAACGCTTCAAATCAAGTTCTCACCTCGGTTAAACAAACCATATAACCCTCATTGGCCTACAGAGGTTCCAGTGTATGCTGCTGTTTGCCGTGTTCACCAGATGGCCTTGCTATATCTTTTCCAGCAATTTTGGTGTACCGCGTTTTCCGTGAAGAGGACAAGAAATGCATTAAGATTATCCACGCCACCCTGCATATGTGTGCGCTGATCTCCTCTGTGATCGGTGAGTTCTCGCTTGAGTGAGCATGAGTAATACTGTGGGGGGGGGAGGGGCTTATAATTGATTATTGCTCGGGGTCCAGTAATCATCGCTAGACTGTACGTCCACCAAACCTCCACGTTCCCCCCCCCATCGGTTCATGGCTAGCCAACATGTCATAATTATCTTCACACCATCATTATCCTGCCTCCGTTCTGCCTGACACCACACCTCCACTGCAACTAGATCCCATGTCCGGTTCATTTTGGCCTGTGATTGTTTATAAGCCACCAAATGTTCTTGTTATTCAGTCCGTTCAAGCTTGAAATGGGTTGCACTTTGCCATCAACATAAGTTATTTGCACGTAATAGCTAACAGTAAATAACACAGGAACAATTCACGGTTTTATGTTTGCTTGCAAACATTGAGGACATTTTTATTATTTACATCCGTATGCATTTTTTTATATTATTCAAAGTGAAAGCTATTTTACTTGCAATAGAAAAAAACAAGTACATCATTCCAAAATTGCTAAATTTAACAACATTGTTTCCACGTGACAATGGGATGCCCTTTTGCAAAGGTGATGGCGAAAAAAACAAAACGCGGTTTAGATGTTGTGTTTCCAGAGAAATTCTCCCTTCTCACCCTCAGTGGATGGTGGCTCTTCCTGATCAATCTGTTGCCTTGTGGTTTTTTTGTGTAGGGCTTGTCGCCGTGTTTGACTTTCACAACAGCCTGAACATCCCCAACCTCTACAGCCTGCACAGCTGGCTGGGAATCATAACCATCATACTGTTTGCAATGCAGGTGAGGAGCCGCTCTTTCACAACGCTGCACATGCCTTGCCTTTTCACATCGCAGCACCTCCCTCAGCCTCTCTCTGTTAACTCCTCTGCCTCTTCCTTCTCACTCACAGGTAAGTTTCATTTTTTAAACCATTGTTCCCTGTGGTGTAGGAGCGTGTTGGGACCTTTGGCCCAAGTGCAGCTACCCCACCGTGGGTGCAAGGTGGGGTGGTGAGATGTTCACCACCTTGCCTGGTATGCAGGAGGTTGTGGGTTCGATGCCAATGCCGACCCTGACGTCTGCATATTTGGAGTATGCATGCTCTCCCCGTGGTGGCATGGGTTATTTTCCGGCTCTTCTGGTTTTTTCCACCACATTTTGAAACATTGGTGTAGAATATTTCGCTGCTATACATTTCTACATAATAAGCCACTATGGTGAGCTATAATTTGTGGCCAGGTTGCTTCTAAAAAATAGCTATATAGCTCAGTGGGCATTACCTGGCAAGATCATTTTTCTTTTTTAGTTTATTTTGATGAGACCCAAAAATGTCAAAACACATGTTTGATGGCTGCTATTTTAAACCAATTATGTGAATTGGCCACAATGCTCGTGGGTCAGAGTGCTGTGCCCACCACCCCAGATATCCTGGATTCAACTACCAGGAAGTCACATGTGAGTAAACCAGGTTCTCAAGTGACTCCACACAAAAGAAAAAACCCACACTTAAAATTGTAGTTTAACTTACATTTTGGGAATGTCAAGATCTAAATAAATAAACAAATGGTTGCTTTCATTTCCATGGAACTAACATCTCTTTAGCAGGGCACATCGGAAGTGCAGTGCCCTGATACAGATTAGAGGTGACGAATGGATCTCGGACGTAGTTCTGTGATGACCTCTCTTTGGACCCTTCTCTTACAAAGGTTAGCGATGAAACTGCTCTGCAAGAGTTGCAAATTAGCACTCTCTCATGACATGATGCCGGTTGCACAATAAAAAAACATTTTACTGGTAGGAACCTCCTGGTTACACCAGCCCACAGGGGATTATTGTGTCCGTCCATCGTGCATCCAAAAATGGGAGGGGAGGGGCTGGGTGAGGAGGGTGGGGAGGGGCTGGGTGGGGAGGGTGGGGAGGGTGGGGAGGGGCTGGGTGGGGGGTGGGAGGGGTGGGGCTGGGTGGGGAGTGGCTGGTCACCCCGTGGTGCCCTCATGAAACTCAACGTTTAACCTACTCACGTCGGCTTGTGCCCGCCCTCACAGTCGGGCATATTTGCGGAATACACCACGTGGTGCCGCCGTTGACCCTGGCCATTGACCGAGCAACCCAACGTTCCTACCAGCTCCCTCCGCAGGAATGTGTTCTTGAGTAAAGTATATTTTATGATAAGATTATAGAAGTATTTTTTTGTCCAATACATGTATCAGTGTGTATCTTCTTCTTTCCTATTGCCATAACAAAGAAGAAGTGTGTGTATATATATGAATAAATGCAACATCTAATAACCCTTACAACCCTAAATTCAATTCTAGTAGGAAATCAAGCTTGGGTTTTAGACAGCCTCATCAATTCATTTCCTCAAATATCTAAAAAGCAAACACTCCACTTGGCTAACGGAGGGGGTACTAATTGCATTGAAAGTAAATTCCTGCTTTGAATAGGAATTTAATTAATTTTCCAAGTGCGCTTTACAGTCCTCGTTCACTGAATTTACAAAACAGATTTACTTATTTTGTCCTGTCTGGTAAAACAAAACAATGAATTGTAACCAGTGCCCCAGATGCATGTAATCTGGTTATATTTCCATGAATATATATTTTTAGATAACCTTTTCTGAGGCTTCCATATACACGTGTTGAGTCTGTGGTCCCAGATCACCGAGGGTAGCCAGAGTTATTTGTATTATTTGGAATTGTCTATGACCACGGATGGCATTTGGAGGTGATACCCATTGAAAAGGTTATCACATTTGAGTTCTCTTTTAATAGCGAAATACTCTAAACAAATAATAATAATAATGTCCTTTGTTTACCCAGGAAAAAAAGCCTCACCGAGTCATCAGATCCCTTTTCAGGATGGTTCTCCATGGGGATGTTTTGACAATGATATGAATGTTTGGCATGCTGGAGGAAACTGAAGCGCCTGGAGAAAAGCCATGTGTATAAGGGGATAACACTTAAAGTTCTATACAACTCGATTGAACCCCGTTGCTGTATTGCCATCTCCTGTGCACCATGTAGCCCAAGCCTTCAGCACCTGATATTCCTAGGCAGTATCCCATCCAAGTTCAAACAGGACCCAACACTGCTTAGCTTCCAAGCTCTGATGAGATCAGTCGTCAACAAATGTGTACCACTGAAGCGTTTCCACTTTGCTTGCTGACAATTTCGGACCTGTCCCATTACGCTGGAACAGAGGTGGGGCTGAAAGAGCTTTGACCCCGTCCGTCTGCCCCTTCCCCAGTGGCTGCTGGGCTTCATCATCTTCCTGTTCCCGGGCGGCACGTCCACCCTGCGAGCGTGGTACCTGCCCCTGCACTCCTTCTTCGGCGTGACCATCTTCGGCATGGCGGTAGCTGCATCACTCACCGGCATCACCGAGAAGCTGCTGTTCACCATCAAGTACGTTGGCCAGGCCACACCCCAGTGCCCGCGTGTGAAGGTGTCCCCTTTCGGCTGTCTTTTAATTTATTTTTCTCTATGAGGATTTTATTAAACAACATTGGCCCGCAACAATGCTTTAGGTGACAAAAAAAAAAACGGACGGGGACAAACTCTGGGACCTCGGATCCAACGCAACTGGGGGAATTTACCCGTGGGTGTAGGGCCCGGGGTATACATCCATCGCCTCTTTCACACGAAGGAATCGCGTTGGGGAGTCAATGTGATTTTATCTGGAGGGAGACGGGATGGTCAGGGAAGAAGTGGGGGGGAGGTACATTCAACTTACGGAGGGGTAGTCCCAGGCACGCAGGGAAAACAAGGATCGGACGTGTGAAGGAGGGGAGGGAGCACCGGGGGTCTCCCATCGTTTGTCTCAAAACGTGTCACTTGAAGGCTTTGCTGCTTTGTCATAGTTTAATTGCCCCCCCCCGAACAAATTTTCGTCATTCAAGTGCAGCCTCATGTCAAATAGACCTGGGTGCCAGTGACATCTTGTGGCTTTTATCTTGAGAGGCGACGAGCACTCATCTTACATTTTCAGGTGACAATTGCAAGTGGTTTTAGTCTCATACCTCTGCAGAGGAGTAGAATGGGGAAGTGGCGTCACTTGTGCTGTCCAGTGCGATGACGTGACGTCATGCGTTCGGGGCAGCAGAATGACGTCACGGCTCCTCAAGTATAAAGGGGGGACCCCGTGACGTCAGCGGGGTCGTAGCTAGAGAGTAGGGTTGGAGAAGGGTGGAATGGGGTGCCAGGGGAGTTGTTCACCCCCTGTGTGTTGTTAAGATTTGTAATAAACCTTTGGCGGAAGCCCTTAACTTACCTCAGCCTCCGAGTGAGTCGTCGGGAACTTCTCAACACCTCTGCAATGCAATGGCAGCACGTGTTTTTCTGTTGCATAGGAAAGACATGGTGGGGGCAATCGTGGCGTAGTAGGCTGCTTAGCATACTGGTGTAACGAGACCTGTTACACTGATCAGTTGAGCAGTTCTTGTGATTTTGCAACATTCAACAAGACTGGATGCAATTATCGAATCAAACCTCTCATTTGTTCTCCGCCTCGTAACATTGAGCCGTTATTTTATGTATATGCTACAGTTGATTAAATGAGGCTCAAATTGCTTTGCGATTCTAATTCGGAGGCCATGTCTTGTGTCAGAGCACGCTCACGTTTATTATATATATATTTTTTTTATCGTACGAATGTAATTATTTGGCTAGGCACATTCTTGTCCAGGAGTGAGCGAAATGTCATGCCCCCTCCTCCTCCCCCCCCCCACCTCCATGCAGAGATACATACAGCAAGTTTCCACCAGAGGGCATCTTGGCCAACGCACTGGGTCTCCTGCTAGTGGCATTTGCGGCGTGCGTGGCGTACGTGGTGACCCGGCACGAGTGGAAACGGCCGGGGAACCCCGAGGAGGAGGCGCTGAGCCTGCACTTCCACCGCATCACGCGCGGCGACGAAGAGGAGGACTGAAGCGGCGGCGTGGCCTGCTTCGGGACGTGAGGACGGCAGCAAACCCGGCTTCCCCTCCACGTAGCCGTTTACTGATTGGGGTCCCGACTTAATAACCGGGGAGTCGGGTGAAGGGTGCGATGATGAGCACCCTCAATCAATGCTCTGGTAAATAGGTGGTGGGGAACTGCCTTCTCCTTTATTGTCGGTGACTGGCGAGGAGCAGGTTTACATTGGAGAGGTGATGTGTCCGTCTTGCGTGCTATTTCTTACCCATGCCCAGGTGGGTTTAATCGAGTTGAAAAAAAAACATGCTGTTTCATGCGGAAGTAATTTGTTGCACCTGGAGTGAGTGAGAAATACACCACTTGAGCGCGAGAATAGCATTTCCCCAAATGGGACTTGGCACCTTGCTGATATTGTTAGAGAAATTATATACATCAAACTGACATCAGACTGAATCAAACTACTTATACATTTTTCAACTTGTTTCATCACCTTCCCTGAGCTCTACCATTTCAAACATAGTATCCCTATGCTTACACCTGTTGGTTATTACAACATATTTAATTTTATTTTGACCCAGAGATACTCAGTTCATAATGAAATAAAACGTTCCTTCTTTTCCCAGCATGTTCCTGTCCCACTCTTCTATATCGCGTCTTGAGATGTGGTTGCGTTTAGATGCCATTTAAGTCAAATATGCGTCGTGATGAGTATTCTGCTTGTCATAATTGGAAGTAGAATTGTCATGCAAGATTCCTTCTTCAGGGATTGCACCAAAATTATTGATAGGTTGGCTAATGCCTAAACTAAAATGTAATTAGGCTTGGCCTTAAGATGTAAATGCTTACATCACTTGCAGTCTAGATTTATACATGCCACAGGTTGCATATCATTGTCGATATTTTAATCCTCAGTTTGGTCCAAACGTGTTGCCCATGTTGTGAAATATGTTGTTATTGTATACTGCTTTCAGAGTAATATTTATGCTGTTGTGCCATAAAAAGTGTACTGCAGCTGAGTGGATAATGGACACGTTACTTGCTCAAAGCAAATGGCCTTTCAATGCTATAATTGCAGATAGATATAGACATGAGTGTAATTCAGGCTAAGAGCGCGTATGTCATGTGCCGATTGTGATTGACACGCGATTACATTTTTAAATAGTATTCTTGGAATGTTTTTCTGCCTTTACTGTCACCGTGTTATGCTTCTGCAGAAGTTTGCCCAGTGTCATGTAAAATCCAGACACTGAAATATTAAACTTGTCTTAGCTGTTATGCCAGGGAGAAACCATCATGCCTTGGGAGGCTGTTCATATCCTGTGGCCTACATAACCTCTCAAAGTGTTTCAACAAAGTGAGCACAGTAGGGGTGGATTCATCATTCTCCACACTGCCTTCTCTTCTTGATAATTAATGGGTCTTTAGGCTCAGGCTTGATAGCTAGACTGTTGCCTTACTGCAGTTAACTATTTAAAAAATGCAGGAAAAGGGGATACAATTATAGTCTTGTGGGAGACGATGCTCGGAGGAGGAGATTGCTTGTTGGTGGGAGGGAGATAGAAGATGGAGCAGGGTTTTGGCAACTGAAAGTTGGGCACACTGGTGCATTCTCAAATAAATGCATGTAAGGTCGCGGCTTAAGGAAAATACAGCCAAACAGTACTTTTTAAAAGTCTTAATTCTGCCGTGCCGTTTAATTGTTTGGTTAGAACATGCAACGATGGCGACATGTTGTTGCCTGCATTTGTGAGTGACCGGGAGATGTACATGGGAGGAAACATTGCATTGTCATCTCGGCCGTCAAGTGCAAATTGAGCACACGTGACGAGGTTTGTAAGTGCCCCGGCATGGCCGTTGTGTGTGCGTGACTGCATGCCGTGTGTGCGCGTGACTGCATGCCGTGTGTGCGCGTACATTCTCACACCGATGAGCTCCCAGCGTTGCTTCCTCGTTCACCGTCTGCGCCGTTGGTTAAAGTATTTATCATGCTTTGTGATGTAATGCTGATTTTGAATTGGTTGATGATTATGTGTTTTTCAATGTAGGGATGCAATGATTGCAAAGTGTTGATATTGAATTCAGAATCTTTATTGAATTATAATGGGGTTTAAAATATCTAGATAAATCATCGCAGCTGAAACGTGAGTGTGTGTGTGTCTGTGCGCATTCCTGGTCCGGGGAGAAACAGAAAAAAACAAGCTGTTGAATAAATGACAGCAGTAACGGCTTTGACACATAGAGCTGCCACCTTGAGCTTCTACAAACGAGAGTTGGGGCCCTTTGTGTCTCTCTCCATTCTATTCTCTCTTTCACTCTTCTCCGTTGCTCATTCACCTCAATGAGCCAGAATATGCCAGATCTTTAAACGTTCCATATTTCGATAGCGTTCTCTCGTGATTTTTTTTTAATGAAATCACGTGAATTATATTTTTTATTCATGAAAATCCCTGTAAAATGCCATTTTACAAATTCCGAGTGATGAACGGAACCAGCCAAGGTTACACCAGCTACAGTCGAGGTTTACAGCAGACGCTGCACGCTTGCCGATAATACCGCATTTGCCAGTTAGCAAGACGCAACCCTAACTTGTACCCGGTGATGATAAAATTATACAAATTTTGTCACACACCTACTGGATTGTAAGGTGCCCCCCCTTCCCCCCCCCCTACTTTTGCTACATAATACTGGGGGAAAAGGTGTCTTATAATCCGGAGAATACGGTATAACAGTTTACAGCCATGTGTCAAATCACTGTCGAATGACGACCCCCCCCCCCCCCCATACTGTCGGCCATATGGGGGTTGTTTGACCATACTTCATTGCAGGTTGAAGGGGGTCTCAAGACAAGTTCAGGCACTGCTCGCCACTCATGTTAACCGTGGCCAGGAACTGAATTCGGGTCGCTGGATTCATAGTGCAGTCCATTAACTGCCCTGCCATCGCTCCAAACCCATGCTTAACTTTACAGCGTTTTAATTCTATTTCACCCAGTTACAAAGCAATCCAGTTACAAAGCAGGAATATATTCCTAGGACTGCAAGAAACGTCTGGTTTGTGCCATCATAAATGTGATGTCACATTGAATAAACTCTACACTGTGCAGTGATAAGAGTGACAAAATATAGGATTAAACTTAAATAAATCCCACCCACAAGAATCTGCTGTGTCAAGTCAGATGGACCATGAGCAAAAAGTGACCCTCAACATTTGTTTTCGTGGATTTTCACTCAAGAACGTAAACTTTAAATCCTTTCAGCTCTTCACATATTGATCTCGAGACCAAAACCTGGGGGTGACGTCATATAAGCCATGGTGAGTGGTGGCACTCACCAATTTAGCCGCAAGCCGAGATTGTGCCAATTTCTGCCAGGGCAGATGGAGCAGCCAGCTGTCTCGGCACTGGATTGAGATGATTGCATCAAACGTGTGGTGTCACGTAATAGGCTTAAAGGGAGATGTATTTTAATATATTTAAATTATTGTGGTGTAATCAAACTGTGATTAATTGTGTGAAATCAGCTTAAAGTAAAAATTAATGAGAAACAAAAAAACTTCTTAAGTATCTCAAACTCAGAACACGTGTTGCTGTCACACCTTTTGGTGATTTTGGAACTGTGGTAAGGTGGCTGGATTTGGAGTCAGCGGTATAGTTTGTGACAATTTCAGAGTACGTGAAACAACTTTGTGGCATGCAATTTAGGTTTAGAAGAGTATCAAGTCTTCATGCGGATGGAGTAGGGAAAGTTGTAGAAATTTCTCGATCAGTCAAAAATTGGGCATTGTGTATTCTAATGTTCCTTTGGTTCACCATTACTGCAGTGCAGCAACACCTCAGTGTCCGGAAGGCTCTTTTGAAATGTTTTAACGTATACACTTGGACTTTACATTCTATTAAATTTAGTATTTTAAAAATTGACACAAGGTTGAACGTATCACAGTTTTACTTCACAGCTATATATCATTACAATAACAATACGGGTTAATTTCAAGGTAACCTCTTGAAACATTGTTGGCTGAAACGGGGGACAGGTTCTTGTGAATTTACACCAAACAGTGAACTGATGTTGATCCACATAAGGCCTGGAAACTCATCTCTTTTGAAGCCGTATTTCAAGCTGCAGACTGAACATGTAGCTTCGTGTTCCCACGGATTCACTCGGCAAGCTGAGTTCCACGACGATAAATGGGTCAGGAAGACGCGGCAATTCCAAGAGTTCAAGGCCACATCACATTTCAGTAACAATTGAATGTTTGAAATGTTGATGCCACTCCGAAATGAATTGATAAAAATGCATGTAAAAACATGAGAAATCTAGTGGAGTAATATAAGAATATATTGACTATGGAAGGCGTAATGTATAGCTTAGTAATAATTAAAAGTTTAGTCCTGAATTATGTTCACCAAAGTCTAGTGCCATCATCGTGGTCATTATTAACTCGATTGTTGCTGTCAGTTGGCCGACAGGGCTCTGTTGTAATTGTTGTCCTGTCATGCGCAGTGCAAGGATGCATCCTTACAGCATCGCCACAATAGTTGAGAAAGGGGGGACTTCATTGCGTTCCCGGAGCTCCTAAACATGAATTGACGCCAACCAACGTAAGAGCCTAACAAACGTAAAGGGTCTAAATATTTAGTGGAATTACCTGAGATAGAATGGTGGAGTATTAGCAAGTAGGTTTGATTGTGGTTTACAGCTGTTGCTTAGAGGAATAATGTAAAACTGTCGCCTCCAAATCCACCCTTTTCCATTTGTTCTGTTGTTGCGAGTACATGCTGATATGTGATTTATTGCTTGTGATTGTGAATACAAATTCGCTTTTATTAAAGCATTTATGATATATAATTGCACGAGCGTTGTGATTTCCATAAATACAAATACAGAAGCCAATTTGAATTGAGATATCGTCATGGCATTCTTGATAGATCTTGTCAAAAGAAAATTATTATGCGTTTTCTTATCTCTGCACAAGGCTTTTTATAAAGCTAACATGTCTGGTAAATGTGCCCGAACCACAAGCCTTTGGAACTCTTAATGACAGTTTTGCAATAATCCATTAACATGTTGAAGAACATCGCACTTTTAAACATAAATACATTTCAGAAGGTTTTAATTAAAATAATGATGTCATTAATGGAACTAATCCACACAGCTGAAGTTGCTGGTATAAAAATACATTAACCGAGATATTGTTTGCGCATTTGAACAGAGTAGGCAACATTCTGATGCAGGAAAGCTGATGTGTAGTTATTTGCTGACAACTGGACTGTATTTGATGGGCCCTCAATGAATTTCTCATATTGGTGTAACATTGTTTTGCACAGTTAGACTTTATTTCGAGGCATTGATATATAGCAAAGAGATACAAACTTTTTTTTAAAAAAAGTTCAGCATTGAACATTTCTTTTATCTGTAAAAAAAACTTGGTACATTCAACAATGTATTCATTTTAATTTCTGTACCGGTACGTAAAATATACTCTCTGGTTCTTTCGGTAAAGTCACGTAGATAGAAAAAATAATAAAATAACCCCCCCGTGCCTATATAAAGCCACAACCACAAATCATTCTTTCTCACCTGATGACGGACGCTTGTGTTGCGACCGAAACGTCGTGTTCTTTTATTATTTTTCTATCTCCGTGACTTTACCGAAAGAACCAGAGAGTATGGATTCCTGCACTCACGAAAGCTTCAAATCACGTAAAATATTGTCAAAAAGTATTATATCTTGTGTGCACCGACGCTGAAACATTGTTTTGTTAACTAAATGTCAGAGCAAGTTGTTAAATGTAAAGATTATTGTAAAACATCAAGCAGGTATTTTTTCAAATAGCCAAGGTCTAAATGGGGTTATGCAATGCCTCTCCAACTCTATTCATAGTGAAAGTTATACAACATAACCAACACTTATGAATTCATGCATTTATAAACATTGCGTATTTTACAAAATCCTGTGTAACGCTACTAACAATGTCTAATTGTATAACAACTATGATAATGCATTATAAAACTGCTACGCCTCGGTTTAGTACCCTAAAACAGGAGAAAAATTTTTTTTGTATGATTTTTCACAATTTTTGTTTTAAAGCCATCGGATAAAACAAAAAGCAGCCCCTTTGGTGAAGCCACTCAACACCGTGATCCTCACCGTGAAATGGAAAGTTACTAAGCAAGTCTGGCAGTTCCCCATTTCTCCCTGTATAAGATTTCACCGTCCGTACCTTTATCCCGCAGCGCGACGGCGATGTCACCACATATCACCACATGTTACCACATCGCTGCCGGCTCGTCCACACTGCAACTCGTGACCCCCTCGGTGTGGCGTCCACGCATAACAACATCTCGTAGATAGAAAAATAATACTGGTAGTAGGAAACGTAGTGGACTGGAAGCCCAACCGGGATTAATTCACAGGAGGCAGGGGATTAATTGTGTATGTCTGTCCACGTCGGAGGGGTGGGGCTGTGTGGAGAGGGGAGGGTAGGGAGGGGCTGGGTGGGGAGGGGCTGAGTGGGGTGGGGAGGGGCTGGATGGGGCTGGATGGGGGGGTGGGGCTGGTTGGGATGGGGCTGGGTGGGGAGGGGCTGGTCACCCCGTGGTGCCCTTATATGGACTGGAAGCCCAACCGGGATTAATTCAGAGGAGGCAGGGGATTAATTGTGTATGTCTGTCCACGTCGGAGGGGTGGGGCTGTGTGGAGAGGGGAGGGAGGGGCTGGGTGGGGAGAGGCTGGGTGGGGTGGGGTGGGGCTGGGTGGGGGGTGGGAGGGGTGGGGCTGGGTGGGGTGGGGCTGGGTGGGGAGGGGCTGGTCACCCCGTGGTGCCCTTATATGGACTGGAAGCCCAACCGGGATTAATTCACAGGAGGCAGGGGATTATACACTGCACTTTCTGGTGTGACCTCTTTTACACTGCACTTTCTGGCGTCGTTTTATAATTCTGCTCACTTTTCATTTTGCTTTCTTCTGCGCACGACCCTAACAAGTTTGGCTTAAATATCCGTACATAATTACATCATAATTACTTCAAAATTTCCTACCAGCCCCCTCCGCAGGAACGTGTTAAAAGAACACGATGTTTCGGTCGCAACATAAGCCTCCCGTCATCAGGTGTTGAGTGACTGAACCTCACCTGATGACGGACGCTCGTGTTGCGACCGAAACGTCGTGTTTTTTTTTAATATCTACGTGACATTACCGAAAGAACCAGAGAGTATGGATTCCTGCAGTCACGAAAGCTTCAAATCAAGATTCGTAACAACATGGTCGGCACCGACCGCCCCTTGCTCACGCGCCCGACTAAAGGGTGAAGCGCTGGCTGCCCTCCTCGATGCGGAAGGGCAGTCGCTTGCCGGTGCCCTGCTCGCTGTTATTGTCCCCACCGGGCCAGACGGTGACGTCCCCTGCCAACTCGCTCGCCGCCAGCTCCGGTGGACGCTGCCACTCGGGCCGTACGACAATGTAGACGACGCAGCCTCCCAGGGCCAGCAGGAGCATGCCCAGCGTGTTGACAAACACCCCTTCTGTCGGCAGTTCGGAATACGCCTTCGTGTTGTTTCCAGGCTTCCTGTGAGACACGGTGTCGGGGGGGGGGAAATCACAATACATCTATTTTGTGTCTCTGTTGTAATAAACTTCGTTTTTCCGTCTCGACTCGAGTCTGTCAGCCAACAGCATGTATCTGAGTAGATTTCATCGTACAGAGAAGAATAAGGGTTCATTCGGAGCAGAAGGGACTCATGACCTATGGATATTAAAGCGCTATGTACAACCTATATTCACAGTTTTTTCCATCTCAGTTAACTCTATTTGCTGAAAAAAACGAATATCTTTTGTATTGTCAATGTTATGTACTCCCGATGGAGGTCAAGCCAAAATGTAATGTTTCACCTATATGCAAAGAGCATTGTGTAATGACTGGTCCACACGTTTTTAACTTGACCTCGCCGTTGCTACCAAGGCTGTTTATTTCCAGCCTTAGCTGTTAGAGTTCTTCTTGTTCAAGTGCCACTGCAACAGCCCTCACCTGATAAAACATAGGGTTTTTTCACTGATTTTCTCTTTTGAGCGCTGCCATGCACTGAAGCTGAGCCTCGAACCAATGATCAGTTGAGCGGCAGCCAAAAGCGTCACTTATTTTTTTTATTTGACTAAGCTGAAAAACAGTGTACCAGTAAGATACCAATAATTCTAGATTTGAAGCTTTCGTAACTGCAAGGATCCATACTCTTTGGTTCTATTCGGTAAAGACAGTCTGGTCCCTTCACCTGATGAAGGCCGCTTGTGTTGTGGCCGAAACGTCGTGAATTTTTTTTATTTTTTGTTGTTTTTACGTGACTTTACCGAATAGAACCAAAGAGTAAAGATACCAATAAACCCTTTGAAAAACACCTAGAACCGTTTGCAAACACTTACATTGCAATGACCCGTAACAGTGCCGTGTGCATGTGTTAAGGATACCAACTCACAGAGAAAAAATGAGCTTCTCTGTGATCCCCATGAGTGCAGTAGCCTGGAATGCGATGTAGATGACTAGGCCCAGGTAGGCGTGGATTGGCTTGGAAAATGCCCTGAGTGAGGCAGGCGACCCAGGGTACAGGAAAATGGCGAGACCCAGAGCCCACTGCAAGATAAGACACATTTTACGGGGTTCATCAAGGTCATCATTATCGATAATCATAACCGCCATCATCCATCACCTTTGTGAAACAGATATTTAAGGACACGTCTCTTCTATTGGGAATGTAGTCTTTGTCGATACAGTGTGTTTTCACAAATGATGCTGTAACTGAAGCCTATTGCTACACATGACTGTGTCCTCTGTTACATTTACAACACTACGAGTTGGGAAAGAGAAGGTGCATCCATTACGGCAATGTGACGTTTCCACAGTTTACCATGGAGCTGTTTTGACTTGAACCAGCATTTACTTTATGAATGCAGATATGGTGCCACATAGAAGCCACAAAATGGAATTTGGAATTACGAATATGCGGAATGACTAAGAAACATGGTGAAAAACTCATCAAGCGGAGAGAAGAAAATCACGAAATATGGTGACTACAAAGACGAAGAAATCTTAGGTAGATGTGGACTATAAAGGACAATAACTGAGATGAAAGTGAGATGTAATGATAGGCAAGAAAGGATGCTTGCAAATGGATTGATAAAATTATGAAATCGGCACAAATATAAGTCAGACTATCAACACACAGACATTCAGTAATGATCAACATTCATGCCATAGAGCATTGAGTATTGGTGCAGCTGTTTTTGATGATGTGAAGATTGTGCATGTGATGGAGTAGTGATTGTTACAGTTTTCAACGTACATTTGTCTTCTGAAGTATTTAGTTAGCAGTATGAATGCATTTGCATATTTCCAAAGAGCCCTTTTTGCTTTTCACCGTGTGTTCAAGTTTTTGGACAACCCTTTTTATCAATTGGCCGGTTTTCAAAAGGGTTTAATAACAATACAACTTTATGAGAATAGGTTTTTCCATTTCTTCTGGCAAGAGAAAAAAGGGGAAACCCTATTCTCATATTTCGGTACTGGCAAAGGAGGTCTCATGAAATACAACTTCATGTTCCATTCGGAAAATCTTTAAAAGAGTCGCCATGCCCCCACCCACCGTTAACAAATGAAAGGATGGACGCAGCTAATCGTTGGAAAATGCTTCAGCAGAAACAAAAGCATGCCATCCCACCCCATATGTGTACCTGCATACAGAAGAGCAGAACAGCAGTGAGTCCCACCCAGCTGTGGAGGCTGTACATGTTGGGAATGTTCTTGAAGTTGTGGAAGTCGAACACGGCTACGAGCGCCACCACGACGAGTAGGAAGGAGAAGGTCTGCAGGCCCGCGTGTATGCACTTCAGCAGCATCTTACTGCTGCCCAGTGTCCAGGGGATTCTGTAGAGGACCATCGCTGCGGGGCATAATACAACAATGGTGTCAGTGAAGGCAACATTGTACAAGCAGCAACCCTTCTCAATCCACTGCTGGATTAAGGGGCCTCTCCACGCCATGCGGATCTTCCCATCATATTTCACCGCACTGGTCAGTGAGGGCTTGTGAATGTGCGGAGCACTGACGTGGGAGCGTAGAAGTACAATACAATGGATTTTGCTGCACTGCCCTCTGCTGTCCATAAACCTAGTTCCACGGCTGCTTTCAAAAACATGACATGCCACGGTGGTCACCCATCCAGGCTCCTCGCTGCTTAGCTTCTGAGGTCTGATGAGATGGGGTGCATTCCCAGTGATTTTATCATAGTCCGTAGGGGTATCATTAAACTACACAATCACAGTTGGTAGCAGGGCCAGTGCTAGGTCGGGACTGGGGTGAGCCCTGTACCGCCATATGTGCCTTTGCCCCCCCCACCACCACCCAAGTTCACTTTGCCTCGTGGTTAACCACTGTTACGGTGGCCCATGCGAGAGGAACTGGAACAGGGTGTGCTAGGTCTTATGGAGAATGATTGCGATGGTGTCAGGTACAGGAAGACTTGGTTCATCAAGGACTAAACACTGAGGTACCCCCCCTGGTGAGACACTGCTTAACCAATACATACTTCACTTGGAATGGTACTTTCTACAAACAAACTGAGGGCACCCCAATCCCCTATCTCCGGTTATAGCTAACATTTTCATGGAGAAATTTGAGACTGACGCCATCCAGACTGCCACTCTGCCCCCAACCTTATGGAAGAGGTACGTGGATGACACCTTTGTCATCTGGTCACATGGCCGGCTTGCTCTAGACCAATTCTTCGACCACATCAATTCCATACACCCAGCCATCAGATTTACCATGGAAGTCGAAAAAGATGGCAAGCTAAATTTTTTTGATGTCCTAATAAAAAAGAGACCTGATGGTTCAATGAGCCACTCTGTCAACAGGAAAGCTACTCATACGGATGCTTATCTGAAACCGGATTCCCACCATCCATCACAGAAGAATTCTTTCATCAAGACTCTGCACCATAGAGCCCAATGCATATCCGACCAGGAACACATAGGCAGTGAACTCAAGCACGTACACCAAGCTCTTATGGCTAATGGTTACTCCGACTATACAATCCGCAAAGCTATCACTCAAACCATGAAGAAGGACCCTCTTGAGGAGCCTTTCGAAACCATCACTTTACCCTACATTGCAGGGATCACAAAAAATATCTCCAAAATCTTGAATAAACACAAGATCCAGGTCCGTTTGAACACATTACATAAAATTCGTAATCTGGTTCCGTCTGTAAAAGATGTGATTCCGGACATACAGTACCCTGGTGTCTACAAACTAAGTTGCCTCTGTGGTAGTAGTTACATTGGAGAAACGAAACGACATGTCTCGGACCGCATTCGTGAACACAAAGCAGACCTTAAACACGGTAGGACCAACAGCTCGGCCGTGGCAGATCACTGTTATAATTCAGTAGGCTCACATGACATTGACTTCTCCAAGACAGAGGTTCTTTGCAAGCCATCTGGCTACCATGAGAGATTCGTTCATGAAGCTATCCACATATACAAACACAGAGACAATTTCAACCGAGAAGATGGATTATGGCTTAGCAATCATTGGAAGGATTTGATAAACCATTTCGGGTCTTAATTTATTGTTCACGCTTACGGTGGCTTTCAGACAGCGTACATTAATATTTCGTCTCCCCCCTCCTCTTTTCCGAACATAGATGGACTCGTCCATCTAAACAAACTGTCAAATCGCTCTCCGTGGTGCTAACGTTTAAAAATAAATACAAACCGCCACTTCGTTCAAATGTTCTTGCCGTTGGTTTTCACACCTGATGATGACTGTTTGTGTTGCAGTCGAAACGTCGTGAGAATTTTATTGTTTTATATATATTTTATTATTTTATTGTTTCCCTTTAACGTGACTTTACCGAAAGAACCAAGAATATTGGCGGATTGTCTTTCACGAAAGCCTCTGCCTTGTACGCATTCAAAATAAAAGTACATTATTCTAAATTCATCAGCCTCACAGAATGCACACTTCCAACAACACTAGTTTGATACAAACTCTGGTTTCAACACGCAGTGTCTCGTCAGCAGTCAGGCTTGCTTAAACGTACGCCGATGGTGAACTACGCAATGTTTACAGGCAAAGGACCCTGTTAGAAACGAGTCCTAGTTGGACGAAAAACTATACAACACAATTGACCATTGAGCGTCGTTGTGTGGATGCATTTATTTTGTTGATTATAACGTCTTCTCCGCAGTGACGGTCAGCGGATACATTTGAGCAAAACGGCTGGCATTCGTACACCTTCGTAGAGCCGTCTGGGTGCTCCTGACTCGAGCGCAAAGGGCAACACACAACACATGCCCACTGGCTCCATCCAGCCCAGCGGGACCTGCATCAACATTAAACACACATCGGGGGGGCGTGCTGCGAGGGGTGACGATGGAGCGGGGCGCGGAGTTGTGGATGGGGTGGTTGAATTGGGAAAACGTCAGCACTCGCCCAGCTTCTAGTCGCGCCCGTTGGACTCTGTGATATATATTTTACAGCCCCCATTGTCAATTGTGAAAAACGTAATTGGCAATGTGGCTATTAATTTCATGGAAGGACGCCATACAGGGGTCTATCTAACAGAAGTGGCTGGCTCGGTGCCTTGGGCAACTGATACCAAAGTCATGGCAACGGCGAGACACCGCTGAAAATTGGAGTTTAAACTCCAAATACCTGCACTGTATAAAGCCACCTTTGTCTCAACCGCTTTCCCGAGGCTATCATCTTCTCCTCTGCCGTATGAGTGACTGCCTCCCTCTGTGAAATAAATATGTCCTACTTGTTGTCTGTACAGCGTCTTGATTTGCGGTCGCATTTGCACGCTAAAGACTGTACATCCACATCACAAAAAAGCATAATTTCTCAAATCAGTATTTCATCATCAGCCATGATCAACCCACTGCTGGATGAAGAGTGGCGGTGACACAATCCATCTCGCATCTTGCACACGAGATCATTCCCATCGCTCCATCTCCGGCGATGAACAACCCTCATCAGCCTCACAGAATGCACATTTCCAACCCTCTCTCGTGCGTAGTTGCCTCCTTTGCCTCCTACTCCGTCATTAGTCTCGACCACCTGGTCAAACCATCCCTTCTACCCACGCGTCCTGCCAAAGCTCGCTTAGCCCGTCTTAACAGACGCCTGGTTAGCGCGGAAGAGTAGGCCAAATACAATTTTAAAAAATAGCTAACGGAGGCCCCCTTCTTCCAACAATGGCACGGGCAAGCAGCTTGCAGGGCTGCCCCTTTACCACGTCGGAGTCGTCTCCATCACCTGCTCATTAAAGAGGCGTCGTCAAATCCAGGCGGGGGGGGGGGGTCGGCAACCTTGGGGCTCTTTATGACTGTCGAGGGCCACCGTCTCGTATTCGTCACAATGCATTGTGGGCTCTTGAAAAATTGACGGGGGACGGGCGGGGGTTTCTTTTTGTTTTACCCAATTCTAAACAAAAATAATCTCTCTCCTTTATTATTTTGGTTGTCGACCCACCCACCCCACCCCCCTGGATCTCCACCCGACACACACAGACACCGTGGTGGTGGGTGGTTATAGAGTCGTATTCTTTGGGTCTTTCGGTAAAGTCACGTAGATAGGTTCAAAGAAAATAACAAAAAAATGCAGCAAAAAAAGCTTATCTTTTGCTATTTTTTTACATTTTCTTTGAATCTATCTAAAAGTATATATATTTTTGCGATTTTTTGGGTAATTTTCGTTGAACCTATCTACGTGACTTTACCGAAAGACCCAAAGAATATAAATTCCAAGTGAAGAAGATTTGGTTATTGTCGTGTTTGGGGCTGACCGAGGCCGTTGAGAACCACGGGTCCCAGGATCATGAGCAGCGGGTGCCAGTTGAAGTGCCGTGCGCCTCCGTCCCACGCCACGCCGCCCCTCCAGCCCCACTGCCACGCGGCCACCAACGCCACCGCCAGCAGCCCGAGCACCACGGAGGCGCCCAGCGCCGCACGCAGCACCACCCCGTCCCGCATCGCTCCACGAAACCACCGCCCTCAAGCCCCCCTCTCGCGCTCCCCGAGATCTCCTCCTCCTGTCCGTTCCACGTGGAGTAGCCGTCTCGCTCGTCCCGCCGGTGGATTGTCCGCCCGACCAATAAAGCCGTCTCCTCGCCTCGCCGTCCCTCTCTCTGCTCCTTCGTCTTCCCCTCCGTGTGTCTTCTCCTGTCCCTCTCTGTTATTACTCTTAACCTTGGATTTCTCTCCGCCTAACTTGTTTGCCGCTCTGTCGCTCACTGCCCGTTGTCCCGATACAGTATTCCCCCCCCCCCCCCTCTGTCTCGCAGTCCGTCTACCCCTCAAGTTGCCTCTCTCTGTTTCGTGTTAACCGTTTGTCTCTGTCGGCCTCTGTCCCCCCCCCCCCCGCGTATCTCGATGTCCGTCTGGCACTTTGTTACCTCTATCGGTGCGTAGCCTCGGTTAAGTTTACCACTCTCGTCGCTGTGCCTCCATCCGTCGGGACTCCCGTCCACTCGTCTACCCGCAACCCTCCCTCGTCTGTCAAGTCCCCCGGGCACCTCAGTGTCCCCCTTATTCTGTTTTGTGCGACTCCCGGGCCTCAAAGGTGACCTGGAAACTGAACCACGAGCCCGCTAACCCGGCCCTCCACCCCAGAAGGAGTCCTCTCTCTCTCGCTTGGCCTCGCTCCAGCTTCCGTTACGAACAGTGGCTGCTTTTGGCCAGGAGACATTACGCGCGGGGGTTATTGCAGCGATTTGATTCGCCTCTGGGTATGTGGGCGATTTAAACTGCCTTTGGGAAGAATGAAGGCCCCTTTTGGAAGGGTAGCTGTAGGTGACACCGACACGTTGAAGTTTTGCTGTTGTGAATTACAATGAAAATTATTGCATGTATCCATGAGAGCCTCTCTGCGTCTCAAGAAAGTGAGGCTAGGTGCGTTTCGTTTACCATAAATCACCCCTGAATGCGCCCCATATCCTGGAATATCGGAGGCTAAGCAGAGCTGAGCCAGGCCGGTATTATTGACTGTCACAACGCCCCGTATTCGCATATTTCCATACGTGCCTGAGATGTTTGGCAATATTTGGCAAAATTCCTTATTTAAGGAGGGGGATACGACGGGGATAGTGTCCGGGCAAATATAAACCCACTTGCTGTGCTGCCATCTCATGCCAACTCGTAGTTCGGCGGTTGTTGGGAGGTTAATAACACAACCGTGATCCACCGACACTAATTGCTGCGAAAGCGGCGTGACGTGGTGACAAGAATGACAACACAAACTCGCGACGCGACTGTCGGAAGCACGTTGGCAATGTTTGTTCTAAAAAAAAAGTGGGGTGGGGGGGAGGGAAACTGGCCTCCGTCATGGGACTGTGGTATTCGCACGACCGAATGTGAGACAATACTCGTGAAATGTCTGAGCAATTATTTTAGCAACGGTCCAGACCTGCCAATACACTCCTGCACAATGGTAGGTATTGTAAATCGCAGATCTCCTTTATTTCCAGCAGATGGCAATGCAGGATTAAGATATGTAATTGAGCAGCCACGGTCAATCCACTGCATTTTAACACGTCGGCTTTCGCGACCAATATCATACACAATATAGGTTGTTTGGGTTAGATCGCGTAATGATGTAAATATGTTCTTTTTACGTGACAACCCTCACTAATTAGCTGTGTCGGGTGGTGGCGGGTTTAACGACACAATTATATATTTACGCGATGTAACCCAAAAAAACCTGTATTATGGACAAATTCCCTTTGCGTGAAAAAAAATAATGGATCTCCTTGAACAGCTCCGTGGTATGCCCTCCATTCTCAGGGCAGCTGGATTCGTAACCCAAGTTGTCCAGATTTTTCGAGTCTTTCAATATTACGTGTGAAGTATTCTTCAATATTAAGTGTGAAGTATTCTTTACAAAGGGAATTGTCAAAAAAGATCATGTCCTGGCTTCAGATCGGCCACGTCATACCAGACCATATCCCAATCCATCCACTGAATTCCTGATTCAAATATTCCCGAATTGCGAAGGGATTGTATAGCCACCCTACAATGTAGTGTAAACATTCGTGTGTAAGTAAACACGCATACCTCAAGAGGATACAATTATCACGGAATCATCACGGCCATTACAGTATTACCGTCGAGCAATTAGTGACATTCATGTTTGCATCGCCTATCTATTAGAATGTAATCGCAATGCAGATGAACAAGTAACATTCTACATCAGAATATTGGTTTAAATTTAAATATTGTATATGATTTATGAATAACAATAACCTGAGTCATAAATTATCATTAAAAAAATACATCATTGGTAAATTCTTGATAATTAATTTCAACGTGAAGCTAAACATTTGCATTTAAATGAAAATCGGCATTTCATTATTATTATCCCGATAGACAGAAGACGGACGGGTCAAACATTTTATCTCGCTTTTAATTAAAATAATAACTTCAAGCAATTTTTCAATCCTGTTGGATGAAAGCCTCCCCTAGCCGTGTTTTTACACTTTTTTTTTTAACCACGCTTCACGGTGGTCAGCGTGAGTTAGTGAGGTGTGGTGAGGTGTGGTGAGGTGTGGTAGGTGGATGGGGAGGCCAGAACCGGGTTCGGATATCATTCATCACTGATGTTACCCGTGGCTGGGAATTGAACCCAGGTCTCTGGGTTAATATCCAAGTACAGTACGCTAGTCACAGTGCAAGCACTCCACTCCTTCTGTCTAATAACCCTCCTTATCGTAACATATAAACAGTCGACGCGACGATTTATCAGTTTTCACAACGAGGCCCCAGTATGATAGAACAGCTCTATTCACGAGTTGACAGCTTATCGGTACGTAACCAAGTCACTCTTAAGGGACAAATGGACCACATTGCACATTCGCTGAAGCTGCGTTAGCTTTGTGAGATCTGACAGGGGACATGCTGGGCCTCAGCATTATTTCTTTATTTCGCCTGTTCACCCATAAAAGCCTCGCTGAGTCTTATGGATCTTTTTTCAGGAGGTCAATGTTTGCGATGCATATTCCAATTGAATACATTGCAGGTCATTTGATAAGATTTGGAGCATGGCGCCAGCACACAATGGCCTGCTCTTGCAAACTACGTCACGGGATCCTTCATGTCTACTTTGAAGCAGACGGCGCGTATTTTTTTGTTGATTCATTCACCCGAAGTAATAATCGGGGCAGCCCGCTGGATTCGAACCGTGACCCTCTGCCACCGGGTAGGCCACGTCACCGCCCAAATGATCGAGCGCACGACGCGGAGTTCCCACGTTGCGTGCGGCACGCCGACGCGGCACCCCCAGCCAGATGCGTCTTGGCGGCATCAGCTGCAGCTCATTTCCGCGCCGAGTTCACTCTCACTTCCACGGACCATGGCGGGTAAAGCCGGCTAGCTATCATCAGCAGCCATGGTCAATCCACTGCTGGATGAAGGCCTTCCCACATGCCGTGCCGATCATGGAGGTTGTTTGACCATGCTTCACCGCGCTTCTCTGTTCGGGTTGGTGAGTGTAGGCCACGAATACTAGCCCTGGTTGGCCATCGAATATGGGTCGCCGGGATCGTTGCGTCAACCGCTCTGCTCGCTGCTCCCCTTCCCGATGTGGATAAGCGAAGCTATTGCCGCCCTGGAGAAGAGGTCAGAATCCTGCTTGTACTAATCCCTAGTCCACAACGTGGCAGAGACCCCAGGTGGTGTTTGCAGTGCGCGGTTTAAAACCTCATTTAACCAATAAACGCACCTGGTGATAGCTTCCAAAAGCTGAGGTCTGCACGTTTTTGACACGAACACGATGGCACAACCACACATATTAAAAGCAGTAAATATCTTCCCGAGTATAAAGGGTCCTTTTAGAGAGCATTGCTGGTGGTGCCCTATCCTGTGCAATGCCATCGCTTCGAGGGTACGTGCGCTGTACTTTATTTGGAGTTTTGCCGATGGTTATATCGCACGTACCATGTCTCCGCGATAAACGGAGTAATGAGATGCTCGCATTGCCACGCTGTCAGTGCAGATTGTTGAATGGGGGGAAGTCAAGGACCGGCACAAAAATCACTCTCGCTCGATCGATATCAACCATGCCCGAGAATCAAACTCAGGTTTTTGCCAGCCTCGGAGGAATCCCGATGCGCCACCGCGTCGCCGCTCTACCCTGCAAATAAAATAGCAAATCAATTTGAAATGCGCGTTTTCTACTTCCAATATTAAGAGAAGAGCGATATCTTGACGTTTTGTTAGGCTTGCCTTCTTGAGGAAAAAGCACGTTAGCTTTGTCCAAGGCTGCCGAATTAATTGAATGCGTAAAGGAATAGCGGACACAGAAAAGTGTCAAGGGACACCTGTGAGTCCATCACGACACCGTATGAATAGCTCTGCCATGGTTAAGCGTGCAGAGTGGAGGTTTTTTAGTTTTCCGTTACATCTTGCGTCGTAGGTTCTGCTCGCATATTCGAAGGTTGTATCTTTGATGTGCCAAGTTGGCACAGAGGCTAGAGCTCCGGGCCAACACCTCTGGGAACCTACAGTGAGGGAAAAAGGTATTTGATCCCCTGCTGATTTTGTACGTTTGCCCACTGACAAAGAAATGATCAGTCTATAATTTTAATGGTAGGTTTATTTTAACAGTGAGAGACAGAATAACAACAACAAAATCCAGAAAAACGCATGTCAAAAATGTTATAAATTGATTTGCATTTTAATGAGGGAAATAAGTATTTGACCCCCTCTCAATCAGAAAGATTTCTGGCTCCCAGGTGTATTTTATACAGGTAACGAGCTGAGATTAGGAACACACTCTTAAAGGGAGTGCTCCTAATCTCGGCTTGTTACCTGTATAAAAGACACCTGTCCACAGAAGCAATCAATCAATCAGATTCCAAACTCTCCACCATGGCCAAGACCAAAGAGCTCTCCAAGGATGTCAGGGACAAGATTGTAGACCTACACAAGGCTGGAATGGGCTACAAGACCATTGCCAAGCAGCTTGGTGAGAAGGTGACAACAGTTGGTGCGATTATTCGCAAATGGAAGAAACACAAAAGAACTGTCAATCTCCCTCGGCCTGGGGCTCCATGCAAGTTCTCACCTCGTGGAGTTGCAATGATCATAAGAACGGTGAGGAATCAGCCCAGAACTACACGCGAGGATCTTGTCAATGACCTCAAGGCAGCTGGGACCATAGCCACCAAGAAAACAATTGGTAACACACTACGCCGTGAAGGACTGAAATCCTGCAGCGCCCGCAAGGTCCCCCTGCTCAAGAAAGCACATATACATGCCCGTCTGAAGTTTGCCAATGAACATATAAATGATTCAGAGGACAACCGTGTGAAAGTGTTGTGGTCAGATGAGACCAAAATGGAGCTCTTTGGCATCAACTCAACTCGCCGTGTTTGGAGGAGGAATGCTGCCTATGACCCCAAGAACACCATCCCCACCGTCAAGCATGGAGGTGGAAACATTATGCTTTGGGGGTGTGTTTCTGCTAAGGGGACAGGATAACTTCACCGCATCAAAGGGACGATAGACGGGGCCATGTACCGTTAAATCTTGGGTGAGAACCTCCTTCCCTGAGCCAGGGCATTGAAAATGGGTCGTGGATGGGTATTCCAGCATGACAATGACCCAAAACACACGGCCAAGGCAACA